TGTAAGCGTGTAGTTGTGGAAGTGATCAACAGTGCAACCGAGCGGCGCGCGCACCTAGCGAAGCTGGGGTCGAGGAATTGCCCAGCCCCCGACACCCTTCACCCATCGGATGCATCGATGTCAACCCACACGCCATGGTCTGTGGTCCGCTTTCGGACAGTGAAATCGTGACAGTGGTTAAGCCTAAGAATGATCGCGTCGTTCTTCGTGAGCTTGGTTGGGCGTTTTCGTTCGGCAAAAGGCACGCCAAAGGCGCCCTAAAAAAGGTTTGCAATTTAAAGGGCATGGTTACTGTGATGCGGTCACGATCAGTAGTGAGTGCGCCTCCGTCAGTGGAGACGTGCCGCAGTACCCTGCCGTGTCGTTTTAGCATCTAAAATGACATTTGTGCAAAGTGTGCAATGCAAAAATTTTACCCCGTGCAATGAACGCACCCCCCAAATATGTGTCAATTTATCGGGAAAAAAGTGTGTTCATTACGCGAGTAAATACGGTATATTTTTCGCAGTGCATGCCGACGTCCAAAAATACTCAAGACTACACAGGCATTTTTTGTATTAAATCATCAGCAATCAGAGGAGCTGGAGAATGCTTCTTTGCACCCGAGCAATTCCAACTCTGCTCGCATTATTACATTTGCCGATCGAGACGTCTTTCTGTGCTTTTCAACTCCAATAAAAATGCACAGATGCTAGTTTCTTCACATTAAAAAACAAAACTGTCTTTATATTCCAAAATTTTTTTTTTCTAGTCTGCCATATGCAAAAGCTAACAAGCATGGCACGGCAAGCAGGAAAGTGCCTAAAAGCGCCTTGTGGATTTCGCACAAACATGCTGGCAGGGGGCATGGCGCAGAAGGAGGACAAAGAGGATTGCCCTCGATCGAAAGGAGGAGAATGCGGGGAGAGGAGGAATTGCGTTACCTTTCAGTATATAGGGACCTTAAGACAAAGCCGTGTGGTGCGTCTGTGGCACGCCTAGCGGACAGTGGCGAACGGCGCGCGGCATTTAGTTTCACCGCTCATCTGTTCCAGGCTTTAGCTTGACCGACCCTTTTCATTCTTTTAAAAAAATGTAAGAATGTTAACCATCAGAGAAGCAAAAAAAAAAAAAAAACACTATCCTGAATTACACAAAAAAAAGCAAAAAGTATTTTCCAGCAAACAATGACACCTGAAGTTTGAAAATTCTGATGCACACGGCCAGGCAACACGAAAACAACTGCCGGGAAAATGAACACGGAGCAAGAAAATATGGCAAACACCTAACACAAAGGAAAGTAAGATCTGAAAGCAGGTGTCATAAAATACATGACTGTGAAGATGCCAGAGCAAAAAGGGAAGGCAAAAATACTGAGTATGAGCATGTTAATTCCAAATTTTCCAAAACTTTTGTCAATGCAGTCCCAAAGGGGCATTAAACGGATAGAGTGCCAATTTATAGCAAAACCTGCTGGGCAGTGCAAAGAATTCAACTAGCAGCGTCCCAACCAGCAGCAGCAAGTGCTGCTTTGTATACACAGACTCTGCAATTGGTTCCCCACCGAGGTAACTGCTAAAATGAAGTCTTAGCACTCTACAGGGTGTCAAAATGAAAATCTTGAAAAAAGTTACTTCACACTACTTTAGGCCTATTTACACACTTGCGTTTGACAACGACCGACTGAAACAAGACCGGTTTTCAAGACTTCTGACTGCTTACGACCGGCTGCACAGCAGTGCATAAAGTTGTAAGCCCTCACAAGAGGCATAAAAACAGGCTTCTTTGGTCATAAGCAGTCACAAGTGTGCGGACCAGCTGTTACTTCAGTACTCTAATCTGCAGCAGCTGAAAAAAACAAGAGTGTTAAAGTTGAAACTGCCAACCTTTCTTTTTTTTTTTTTAATAAGGAAGATTGAATTCTGGTGACACATTAACTTTTGGCACGATTATATCTTCCGCATAGGTAAGAGTAGAATCAAAAGAAAACAATAAAAACATTTTTACAAACACATTAGACCTCGCCTCAATAAGCACACCTCGAGCAAGTTCAAGTTTGGAACAAGAGCTAGACCATGACCCAATGTAGAGTCAGATGCAGAACACAGAGTAGCTGCTCTGAAATTCATTAAGCACAACCTCCTATTTATTGACCCAGCCTCTAGATTACAGCTAGGGAAAGATCATTTCCTACGCACCAATACACTTGTGTGATGACAAATGATGGCATTCGGGCAAAAGGCTGGACAGCAATGCCATACAGTATAGCTGTGTAGCCAACCAAGCTGGAATAATGATAGAAACTTCTTGGATATTGCTGGCATTTGAAAGGCCTACCTGCTGCAGGCTAATCGCAAATGCCCTTAAGGTTTGTTAACCTAATGCATTAGCATGTGCTCGATGAGGTTTAGAAAATGGCCTGGAATGCTCCTGCAATTTGTGAGGTTTATATGCAAAAGCGCTTTAGTGCGGTGAGCTTCACTATTAATCTGAGCAAAGGCAATCGGGACCTATCTTGCACTCAGGTATATGCATACTTTGATTGAAAAGGCATAAAGTTTTGCACGAGCTAAATGATTACACATGGGGCAAGCTAAACTTACATGTCAACCGCAGGCATCTTGCATGTGTGCATTTGGGGCATTGTTTGCACTTGTAAGGTTTTTAAGAAGGGACAAGAGTCTAACTTTTTTTTTTCATTTTTCATTTATCATGCTGAAATTTAGTATACTAGTGTACTCTCACTGGTGATTTCAAATATGCAATTATAAAATTTCAACCAAGGTCTCCTCATGGGTCGTTAGAGACTAATTAAGACTGAGACTAATAATTGAAATTATTGTATGACATATAAAGCAACAAAAATAGCCTCACCACACAAAGCATGTCTTAGTGAAAGCAATTCTATAAGAAATTCTGATATATTTTGAAGAATCTTACACTAACGACCAGTAATGACACCTAATTGAAATTACAAATTTATTGATAACTCAGGATCTAGTAAAGCTATAGACCGTTTTACTGAAAGAGGGCGAGAGAGAGAAGGGGAAAGGGCTACCGGCGCTTTCCCCCTTTCTGATTGTGTAGAAAGAGTGAAATTCCCGGATGAGAGGCTTCGCCGGTGTTGGGTGTCTCCTGTGCCCGAACTTCGTTCGCGCTTTCTTTTCTGTTTTAAACTCGCAAACTTAATTAGAGCCAGAGGCTTCGATGGAAACAGTCCCCCGGTCGTCGGGACACCATTGCTGTGTCACAGGGTGCACGAATAAAAACAGAAAGCATAGAATACTGTCCGAGGACATATGTAGCTTGCAAGGAATCCGGCAAGGCGAGAGCGGCTGCAATGTCTTTGAGCTCCATCGCTTTCCACATGACCCCTGTCTCTGGTGGCAGTGGATTGCGTCCGTAAACCGAAAAGGCGTTTCCTCAACGCCATCCTGTCGACTTCGCTCGGAACATTTCGTGAATGGAGCGCGCACCGAACGCTGTACTGCCGATGAATATAGGGTACGCTCGCAATGTGCGTGCGAGTTTTTTCATGGTAACTGCTGTTTCAGCTTGTAAAATTTCGTAACTGAATTTATCTTAATAGTGATAATTTGCAGTGGTGACTGACTCGATTTTATCATCTACAACACTTAGTTGAAGGCTCATATCCGCCGCCGGGTGAGGCTGAAAATTGTTGAAAACGTGGTTCTATTAATTTCCTTTTTTTAATCGCGATCTCCTGCGCAATATTAAAAAGCCGGCAAAAGCGCTCTTTGGAGTGCCGCTGGTGGGTTGTTTCCGTTGACTAAGGCGCTTTGAGGCGCCTGATAGTCGCTGCAGGGAACGTCTCGTGTGTTGCAATCTGCGTTTTCGAGCCCAGTGTGCACGTTTCTTTGTTTGAGTCATGGCATCCGCCAGTGTGGCGACGGAGGGAACAGCGGCAGCGAACGTGCCAGCTATAAAAATTGGAGGTGAGTACCCAAAATATTGCATCAAACAGTAAAATATTCGTGGCTGCTTCGAGGCTTTCTGCGGTTCGATAAAAGTACATCTAGAGCGTCTTCGTCGTTCATTCACAAGGAAATATAAGAACAGGGACACGAAGATAAAAACAGCACAGCAAGACGATATGTAGCAGCTCCGGGCGTTTTCAAATTTAATTGAGGTTCTCGTTTCGTTTATCGCTTGTTGATTACAACTAAAAGCGGCTACGTTGAAATAGGCCCATTGCAAGCAAAAATGTATAAATGGTTCATCATTTCCACTCATGCGGAAAGCAATGGAGATTAAAAACATTCCAGCCGTACTTGCCTTGCCGGATTCCATGCAAGCTACATAGGTCCTCAGACAGTATATGACGCTTTCTGTAGTTATTTGTGCACCCTATCACCCAGCAACGGTGTCCCGATGACCGGGGGACTGTCGCCATCGAAGACCATGGCTCTAATTAAGTTTGGGAGTTTGAAACGTAGAAGAAAGCGCGAACGAAGTTGGGGCACTGCAGACGCCCAAAGCCGGCCAAGCCTCTTATCCGGGACTTTCACTCTTTCTACACAATCAAAAAGGGGGAAAGCAACGGTAGCCCTTTCCCCTTTTCTCTCTCGCTCTCAAAATGGCGCTACCCACAATAAAACGGTCTATATGAAAACTAATTGCACATTTGAAATCACCACTGAGAAATACACCAGTATACTAAACTTCAGCACGATAAATGAAAAATAAAAAGAGTTAATGACCCTCGTTTCCCTTTAAACACTTTTTTCGATAATGGCGGATCAGACTGGTATTATGAGAAAAGGATTGGGGGCACTAATTGCACTTAAATGGCTTTTCACCTGTGTGTGTTTGATTATCGCTTTGCAGAGAGAAATTTCGAGCAAAGGCTAAGGTAGAGTCACTGAATGGGTTCCCAAGTAACGCATTTCTTTTCTTTTTGCGTTTTGCCGACAACATATTCACTCTAGCCGATCATGTTTTGGCTTGGCGAACATCATTGGACGGTAGCGATCACGTGACACAAGCACCGCCAGACTCACCTCCATCAGCGCTTCAAGCAGCTCTAATCGCCACCATCTTGGGTCCAGCAAACAACTGCACACACAAACGCTCTGCTGCTCATCGAACGCTTATTTATGCGCCGTCTTTTCCATGCGGTTACCAACGTCAAAAGCAAGGAGGTTGTGTACTTAATGGCACAATGCCTGCTTTTGCGCTTTTGGATGCAGCAGCAGGTCGGAGGATGGAAGGCGACTCTTCCGGATCCCGTTTGCAAAGAACGCAACTTCAAGACGGAGGAAGAAGGCTTGGCTGGCCATAGTAAAACGAAAATATTTTGAGCCCACTGCAAGCAAGCTTTGTGAGGCGAGTGCCGATTACAGCTGGTTCATTCCCCGTATCGTGAAATGAACCAGCTCTGTCAACACGCTCCAATGCATGTCACTATTGCTTTCATAACCCCATTGACGCATAGACCCAAGATGGCGGCGCCATAATTTCGGTTCAGCACCGCGCCGCGGTTCTAGAATGAACCTTCGGAGTTTCGTTACTCTGGGAACCCATACAGTGACTCTAGGCTAGGGGACACTGCTTGCACTTAAATGGTTTTTCACGTGTGTGTTCGATTATGGCTTCGAAGAGAATAATCTTGAGAAAAGGCTTGGGGGCACTGCTTGCACTTCAACGGCTTTTCACTTGTGTGTGCTCAGCTGTGGTAGATCAGATTGCTACTCTCAGCAAAGGCTTGGGGGCACTGCTTTCACTTAAATGGCTTTTCACCGGTGTGCATTCGATTATGCCTTGTCAGATAGGAATTTCGAGCAAAGGCTTTGGGGCATTGCTTGCACTAAATGGCTTTTCACCAGTGTGCAGTCGATTATGCCTTGTCAGATAGGAATTTCGAGCAAAGGCTTTGGGGCACTGCTTGCACTTAAATGGCTTTTCACCTGTGTGTGTTCGGTTGTGGTAGATCAAAATGCTACTCTGAGAAAAGGTTTGGGGGCAAAGCTTGCACTCGAATGGCTTTTCACCAGTGTGTGTTCGAGCATGCTTTGTCAGAGAAGAGTGTTGTGTAAAGGCTTTGGGGCACTGCTTGCACTTAAATGGTTTTTCACCAGTGTGAATTCGATTATGGCTTTGCAGATAGGAATTCAGAGCAAATGCTTTGGGGCACTGCATGCACTTAAATGGCTTTTCACCACTGTGCAAATGATTATGGCTTCTAAGATGGGAATTCCTAGCAAAGGCTTGAGGGCACCACTTGCACTTGAATGGCTTTTCACCAGCGTGCCTTCGATTATGATTTCTCAGAGTGGAATTTTCAGCAAAGGGTTGGGGACACTGCCTACACTTAAATGGCTTTTCACCTGTGTGCGTTCGATTATGGCTTTGCAGAGAATAATTGTGAGAAAAGGCTTTCGGGCACAGCTTGCACTTAAATGGCTTTTCACCTGTATGTGTTCCAGTGTGGTAGATCAAATTTTTACTTTGAGCAAATGCTTTGGGGCATTTCATGCACTTAAACGGCTTTTCACCAGTGTGTGTGTTTGATTATGACAGGTCAGAAGGGAATTATAAGCAAACTCCTGGGAGCAAAGCTTGCACTTAAATGGCTTTTCACTCTTGGACTTTTGAGCGCTGCTGAGCACTTGGGACTTAGAGCCAGAAATGGGAAGATGCTGGCACTTGGATTGTTCATCACCATGGGCAGCCAGGTGGCTCACAATTGCACGTTGATCTCTGGTTACATAGCTGCAGGAACAGCATCCGAACCAGATGTCATTGGCCAACAATGAGGCTCCATCACCTAGAAAAAAAGACCATATGTATATGGAAAGGACAACCAGAATAACAACTTAGTTTGGCAAAAGAGTAGTCATTAATGCAGTTTTGCCACAGCTGCACAGTTTAATATTATGCTGTGCTTTGAAATTCAGTTCACAGAAGCACTCAAATGCAAATGGCACTATTAAGGGGAGTCCCGAGAGTTGAAAAGTGAAAATCCTAGAAAAAAAATTTTATACATTTTTTATATTGATTTGCAATCACACTTTATAAATCTTCCCGCTTTGGAAAGCCTTCCTGTCTCCTCATAATTGTTCTTTTTTCTTTTGTCACAAGAAAATCATAGTCTTGAAAAGTTAAAATCTGAATCTGAATACTTCCTGGGGGCTGGATACCTCATTATTCCAAACGAAAAAAAAAACAATATTTCTGGAGACTGTTAGATATGACATTTTCTAATTGGCGTGTGACTGTTCCAACTATGGCGGGTCAGATCAAAAGTTTTCCTTAAAGTTACAAGTAAAGGAATTTCAACATGTGATGCAGTCATGTCTCATCATTATAGACACAATGTTATATAGACACAATTTTGGGGGACCAATTCCTCCCCATGCTCCGCCTTGTGAATATTAAAACCCGCAGTACAGACTATGAACAGCTAGCTAGTTTTGGAAACAAGCTGGGTAAATACATGCAGGCAGACTTGTACGTAATCCGTTACAAGTAATGAAATTACTTGTAATCCCTTACATTTATGAGTGATTTAGAAACGGAATTACATATTTTCTAGAGTAATTTTAAAGTAATTCTATTATATTTTTCACGGATTCCTTGCAATCCGTTACTTTTTTTTTCAAAATCAATGCCCCCCTTATTTTAAAATTTTTTTTTTTGGCAAAGTCGAGCGGCAGTGACAGTGTCCCGCGAAACGACCAGCACAAAGAGAGGCTTAACACTCTCTTCAGTTCCACAAAGTTGTTTTTTTTTGCAACACCAAGCCCCTGAATCTATTTTTTTAGACACTAACAATTTCAAAAAATCTAAATGGGCATTTCTACATAAAAAAAGGAAGGAGGGGGGGGCAAGTTACATCCACTTTTTTTTGTTCTTTTGTTTTTCTTTGTGATCAAATACGGGGAGACGAGGACACCAAGGGATTGTTTGCCTCTCCGAGAAGCTTGAGGCGGTAAGTGCACAGACAAGAATTAACAATGTCCTCGACCATTTTTTTAATGTCACAACATGAGACAACACTCTGTCTACCCTAAAATCTACTAAAAGAGATGTAATATGTGAAGGTGTTATCGCTACAAGCACCCTCGTTCGTTGCTGCGCACTTCTCATCTTCTCTTAGAAAATGGAAAGTATTTTTTTCTGTTTCTTTCACCTTAATGATCCTGTTTTAAAAGCTGCTTACTCTTTTGTAGTACAACTTCTAGGGTTGGCCCACTTTATTTGTGAATTCCAGCCAGGTTACCTGCATCTCAGTCACCCTTTTTGAGAGTCAGCTTTTTGCGAGCACTTCGAAAATGGTAATAGTCTTTTTTTATTCTTCTTCCTGTTTTTACCTCAGCAGGACGCGTCCTATCTCAAGCAGATATTTTTAAAAATAAAACATGATGGTGGCTGACGTAGACTAAAGTCACTGGATAGCCAGTGACTTTAACATAGATTTGATATTCTGGGCTTGAGGGGAGAGTGAAATTCGTGAGTGGGGCCATAGAGCGACTTAGTACTCTGCCCTTCGCTGTCCGTGGCATCAGCGGACATCTATCTGGAGAACACCGGAGTAAACTGCAGTTGGTTCGTGCTCCGTGCATTTTTGAACGGCACCAAGGTACACACGACAAATGTGCGTTTACATTTTCTTGTTTTAACCAACGCTCTAATTACCGTATAATTGCGTGTAAGGGCCGCACCCCCATATTTAGGACAAAATATTTAAAAAAATTAGAGAAATTATTCGTGTATGCAATGCACCCCCTTATTTTTGAGGCGCACCGACTGTAATGCATGAAAGTTTCTAATATATATCGCTAGATGGCGCTAGCCACCGCCCGAGCACGTAGCGGCAAGTCTCCGCATCCCCAATAATTGCTCTCCACTCATCCCTATCACCGTACAACACAATGGCTGCCGACCTCGATCGTGGTCGGCCGCACCGTCGGGATGCGTTTATGTTGCGGCCGGAAGACATTGAGAAAAGATTAAGGATATGTCAGCTTCCGTGCCAAGCGCGAGGAATGGGGATTCAGCAGGCTCGGCTCGCACGTGCACTCAGGTTTCTGAACGCCACTGTACGCTCTGGGGAGGTTTTCTTTTGTTCTTCGCGTCGTGTCAAAGCGTCGTGATTTGTCTACCTTTTTGCGCAATCAGAGCTATGGGCAAGCACCACTTCAACAGTCATACGGGATTCGAATCGAAAGTTGCTGCGCATGCTATCAAGTACAAAAAAAAAAAAGATGCGTATTGCGCAGTAAGTAAACTAATTAAATCCGACTGACGATTCAGTCCAGATTCCGGAGTGAAGGTGTTTTCGACCAGTGCAGCCGAGCGCGCTCATGTGAGTTCATTTTAAAATGTGGATACTGATTTTTTTTTTATCCGTGTATGAGCCGCACCTTGAAAATTTGCCCTCAAATCAGGAAAAAATAGTGCGGCCCTTACACGAGTTTATACGGTAATTGTTGTTATAAATGTAATTTTTTTATTACTTATATTTATATACTAGGAACTTTTTTTTATTCACCAACGCCTCAACCGAGGCTCAACCTGTTCAGAACCAAAGAAAGACGAATATAGAGCCAAACCTTATTTATTATTTAATTATCACCTTACTGGGTCAAGTATGTTTTGGTATTGTCCGGCAATATATACCGGTATTGTATGGACATAAATCAATTCTTATTCTAGCTTCGGCTAGATGTATGACTTCTAAAGCTTCGCGATTTCGACAATGGAGAATTTTAGTAGATCGTTCCAGTGACTCTGATAACAATACCCGATACTCCGCCGCCCCCTTTACGCATTCATCATATCGTTATCTTAGGTATCGAAACAATCTCCTAAAACTCTCGAATACCGGGCAACGGCTGCAACGACGAAGCTTTGCTCTATCTTCAACGTAAATAGTACTCCCATTGCCTCACTGAAAAAGCTCGATGCAGAGCATCAAACATTCGTGAGGCACAATACGGCACTCCCATCGAGTGCCTCAGTTCAAAGGGTGTTTAGTGTAGCAGCCGACATATTGAGTAAGAAATAACGCAATATGTGTGACGAGTCTTTCGAGAGTCAGCTGTTGCTCAAAATACTCAAGGTCATTAAATGGAACAGGTGGCAACAATGAGAACTTCAATAACCCTTTTCCTTTTGTTTTTAATTGAAGTCAATATTGTTGAAAGTAATGCCACGAAAGACTTTTATGGAAGGGTAACTGTAATTGTAAAAAATTATAATTTAGCCTCGAGTAATTGCAAATGTAATTCCTTACTATTTTTCAGTAACGTGTACAAGTCTGCATGCAGGTTTGTCTCATTATTACGGACACAAGAGGGTCCTCTAATAAAAGAAAAGAGCTTAGTTAAGACCTTGAGCTACAGAGTTCACCGAGAGTTTCAGTTGGCTGTTGGTTGTGCTTCCTTCGAAAGGCATAAAACCTTGGCACCGAACACTGGTTCGATTTATCAAGGCTTTCCAGCCAAATGGGTAACCTTCCCTTCTCTCCTTACGTTACGATGTTCTTCAGGTTTGTCACGTGCGGTAACTTTTCTAGCTTGTCTGGCCTCTTCCGTCTATGCCCATTTAGTGGAGCCACGTTTTGGTCGAAAACCAGTCCGGTAACCGCAGGCACACCTTGGCAAGGCGATTATTCTAGAGGGAGCACTTTGCTGGCTCAGGCCAGGACAGGAGTCTTAATTAGACATGAGGAAGATACATAGAAAGGGGGGACAGACAACGAAGACTTCCAACTAGCAACAACATTTATTGACCCGAAGTTTGTATATATAGGTGAAGGAGGGGAAGGTGAAAGACGCTACACTGGAAAGTGGGAAAGCGATGGGAGAGGGTGTAGAGCCAGGGAAATGAGGGACGATCCCGTGGGGTAGACATCTAATCGCTTGGAACCGCGGAAACGAGGGACGTCAGCTCTGGCCCCAGGAAGTTTATCTCCCTCCTGGATAAGCCTATGGACGGGGATCCGAAGTTGTTGTGACTGTGGTGCATGGCGAAGGCCTCCATGATCTCTCGTCCGTATCTTGAGGCGTGACCTCCAATCCTGGTGGTCGAGGGAAGGTCGGCCGAACAGGGTTCGCTGCACTCAGAGGTGTGTTTGGCAATCGGGTGGTAACAAATCTCCGAAGTGTCGGAAGCGGCTTTCTTGATCTCGTTTGCATGTTCCCTCACCCGATCGTTTAGGCATCGGCCCGTCTGTCCGATGTATTTTGCACCGCAGGACATGGGAATCGAATACACGCACTCTTTGCAGCAGGTTGCATAATTGGTCTGGTGCTTTTTCTGGCACGGGGGCGCTGGACCGGGGTTGTTGACCTTTCTACAAATAGAAGCTAATTTGAACTTGCAGGAAAATACAACGTTGGTGTTGAAGCCGAGCGCAATAGATTTCAGGCGATGTGAGGTGTTGTGTATGTAGGGGATGCATGCGAAGCGTGACTTAGGAGGGAGGGGTTTGGACTTCCGCCCCGCGACAAGTCTTTTGATTGTTGTTTCAATCAGGTCTCTCGGGTATCCTGCCTTTATGAGGCGACTAATCTGCTTGGATAGGCTGGGGCGGAAAGGTGCTGACAGGATTTAACCTTTGCCGAAGCAATTAGATTTCGAACGATCCCATTTTTTACATTCCTTGAGTGTGAGCTGTTGAAAGGAAGAACGGGCTTAGAGGACCTCTGCTGGTGAGCCCAGCAGATACCTTTGCTAGTTGGGACCAACTTGAGATCCAGGAACTGTAAGCCCTCAGGGGAGGGGGCCTCTTTGGTGAACGTAAGCCCGT